TCTCCATTTGCTGTATCTTCTGTGTCAGCTCCTGCTCTCTTTGCTGGGCCTGAAGGGCTTGGGCCTTTGCTTCGTTGCTAAAGCTCTGCTGAATGCTATCTTTTTCCAGTCTACAAAACAGAGAGGAGACATACAGAAATTTAATCTGCAGATGTACAAACCCCCCATTTTTTCCCCTGCGGACCACAGAAAACTGACCGGTGGTAAATTGTTAACCCAAATGTAAATTCTTAAGGGTAATATGTAAGTATAAATACCAGGGCCAGCCCTGGAGCCTAGTGGTTAAGAGAGCCAGATCCCACATGGCTGATCATGGTTTGAGTCTTGGACCTGGTGGCTTGAAATTCACACCAGGCATGTATGTGTGCATGCACAACATCCTCAAAGGATGATCGAGGAGAAGGGATTGTAGCATGGTCAGCCCTGTGGGAGGGGATGATTTCTCACTTTCACTCTCTCTCTCTCTCCAGAGAGCATATGTATCCTAAAGCAAAACTCTAAGCACAATAAAACAAACAATAATTAGAGTGAATTAGCAAGCCCTGGAATGGGAGAATGTATTTGCAAACTATGCTTTAGATAAGGGACTAATAACCAGAACATATAGGGAACACAAGCAGCTTGCCTGAAAAAAAAAATCAACCCAATTAAAAGATGGGAAAATGAGCTGAATAGACAACTTTAAGGAAGACATACGAAAAGCCAAAAAGCATATGAAAAAATGCTCAATATCTCTTATCGTAAGGAAAATGCAAATCTAAACCACAATAAAAATGTTCAATATCTCTTATCATAAGGAAAATGGAAATCAAAACCACAATGAGATACCACCTAACTCCAGTCAGAATGGCTAAGATTAAAAAAATAAAATTGCTAAGTTCTGGCAAGGCTGTAGTGAAAAGGGAACTCTCCTACACTGTTGGTGGGAATGTAAATTAGTATAGCCAGTGTAGAGAACAATGTGGAGGTTCCTCAAAGACCTACAAATAGAACAACCACATGATCTAGCAGTTCCACACCTGGATATCTACCCATACTTGCACATCCATGTTTATTGTGGCATTATTCACAATTGCTAAAATATGGAACCAACCCAAATGTCCACAAACAAATGAATATATTGAAAAAGTGTGACACATATACTCCATGATATTATTCGGCCATAAAGAAAACAACAAGACCCTGGAATTTGATGGAAAGTGGATGAATATGGAAGATTTGTTGCTTAGTAAAGCAAGTCAGGTTATGAAAGAGAGACATTGTATGTCTCCACTTAACAATATATAGACTGTCTGCTCTCTATGGTAGAGACTGAAAGACTGGAGGACATAAAAGCATTAGAAATTGTTGTGGACACTAGAGCCAAAGTAGAGGGAGAATGTGGGAGGGGAAGAGTGCAGGAAAGGAAATTAGGGGAAAAATATGGAGAGAGAAGATATTTTTGGGACACAGGTATAGTTTGTTATCTGTTGATGAGGATGTGTATAATATTCCCTACCACCTACCAGTTTTGTCATGCTGGGCCTCCATTTGCTGTATCTTCTGTGTCAGCTCCTGCTCTCTTTGCTGGGCCTGAAGGGCTTGGGCCTTTGCTTCGTTGCTAAAGCTCTGCTGAATGCTATCTTTTTCCAGTCTACAAAACAGAGAGGAGACATACAGAAATTTAATCTGCAGATGTACAAACCCCCCATTTTTTCCCCTGCGGACCACAGAAAACTGACCGGTGGTAAATTGTTAAGCTTAAGAAGACAATAATCATTCTACAGGACCTCCCTTCTCCCCATGTAGGGGAAAACCTAAAGGACTTTTTATACAATATTAAATATGTGCCCTAAATCCTAATGGAATTAAGTATGCAGCTTTAAAAGTTAAAAATCATGACAACCAAATGAGGGTATTTCTAGAACTTTAGAACATGGACACCTTTTTTTTCCCTATAATACAGGACATTTTACACTATTAATCTTTCATTTTCTGAACAATCAATATTTCCTAAAATCCTAGAATACTAGGAACAGCAATGACTTGATTCTTAATTTAAGCAATACTGAAAACCAAGCTTTGTAGACCATTTGTAATTTTCCTCCAAAACCCAAAATGGAATTTCACATACAATAGAGGATACTCTATCTAGAGGGAAGTAAATGATTCCGCAGCACCACATGCATGTTTTCATTAACTATTTTCACACAATGGGCCATATAATGTGAATATAAATACGAATGTGAGTAACTTCCTCCCCTCCCCCAGAATTTCATAGTAAAATCCCTCTTGGGTCACGTTGAAAGGAAGTGCAGGATGAAGAGCTCCCACTGCCAAAGACAACATCCATCCCACTGTGACAAGATAGCATCCTAGCCCATTGGGTCAATACCCAGTCACAGCGGCTCCTGAAGAGACAAATTTCCTAAGCAATGAAAACCTGAACAATGCAAAGCACCTCATCGTTGGCAGCACTGTGGATACTGAAGCATGTGTATGTAGCTGTGCACAAACACACACATACACACACAACTTGTATTAGGTGGGTTTCTTCAAACTCTAAAGGTGGATTAATGATATGAGGGTTTCCTTCAATTAACTGACGTAGTTATTTGTAACTCCTGATCTCCTTGTGGGCATTTCTCATCCATGCTGCTTTAGTTTACTAATTGAGATATTTACTGCCTAGCCTTTGCCAAACTAAAAATAAACAATTCCGTAAAGCTATCACTACTAGTCTATGTACCACTGTGGAACTTCAATTCACTGGCTTCTAATTATAAAGCAACATAAGGAAAGCCTGTATCGAAGTTGGTCAACGCATGTGGTAATGCTGTAGTGTAAAATTCCGGAATGAAAATACACCCACACCTCACTCAAACAGAATCGTCAGGGGTCCATGCTAAATGTGAAAGAAGGTCCCGCTGGTAGTTCTAGTAACAACAGCCCTGGATGTAGCCCAAGGGCTTGCCTCTTTACTTCCAAACTAGTATATTGCAACAAATGGAGAGTCAGACTGGGCTCCTTTTTGCCTCCCGAGTCATATCAAGTATTTTCTGGCCACAGATCATTGCCCATATTCTGGAATGCACCTCCTTCCCCAAACTCAATTCTCCTACACATTTGATGCTGTGAAGACCTAGCTCAAAACTCTTCCCCTCTCCCTCCTCTCTCTCCTTAATGAACTACTCTTTCCTTGATGGCCTCAATATATGTTGTGTACAAAGATGGCATTTATCATAGTTCAGTTACTGGTATACATGTCTGTCTCCATTTGCCATCTCTGTCGTTCTATACCCTGAGTGCAGCTCAGTAGTTGGCACGCTGGAAGTCAGAAGTGGATGGTTAATTATTAGATGTTCTTAGATCCTTGCTATAGTGGAAAGAAAGGCTACAGTCTTTAAGTGAAGCTGAAGAATCTGCTCAAGTCTTATACGAGGAGATCAAACTTTTTCAGGCATGTTTGGGAGAGAATGGTTATAATGCCTCTGCCCATTGGAGACCATACTACTGAAGGAGCCAGCTTAATAGGAGCCCTGAGGACAATTTCCCCAGCCAGACCCCTAAGTAGAACAGAGGGTGGAGGCAGGGAGATCTGGGGCTCTGTGATCCTAATATGAGGGTGACCATAAAATACAATGTCCAAAAATAATACTCATTGGAGATGAGAAGGGGCACTGTTAATAATTATGCCAAGATGGCAGATGTAACTGAGACTACCCATTGCAACCTGGGACTTACAGTTTCCCAATCTAGTCTAAAAACACCATGAGTTTTTCAAATAGAATTTGTCTAATTACTACTGTTCTAAATTGACTACAGAAAAGAACTCTCATCTTAATTGTAGTTCTTCTTGTAAGATAATTTTTAAAAACCTTTCTACCAACAAATGTTGAGTTACATATCAACATATTTTTCTTGATTCCTCCCCCAATTTTCACTCTGAGAAACTACACGTTATTTTTAATACACAAAAACATGGCACACTCTTGCAACCTTACCTTCCTCCCTTCCCCTTTCCTTCTGGCTTACTCGTTCCCTTTGTAGGTCCTTTTCTGACCTGAGAGGCTTTACATAAAAACTTGACTGTTAAAATTGAAAGGGAGCTTCAAATTTGTTTTGTCAAAGTCTCTCACACTATATTATAGATAAAAATAAAAACCCTCATGAAAACGCAAGGGTTGGTTATAAAAAATTTGGAATCTGCTTCTAGGTTACAAAGTGAACAATTTAAACACAGAGATAAGAATAAACATATTTTGATTTAGGAAAAGCTTTTTTATAACACTCCAGAGGCAATGCAATAATGGACTGAAAGAATTAATAGAATTAGTAAAAACCACGTATGGGTCCAGCCATGGTCTGGTGGTTGAGGTGGCTGGATCCCACGTGGACGATTTCACAGCTCAAGTCCTGGACCAAGCGGTTTGAAAAGCACATCGTGTATGTGTGTATACGTGTGTGTGTGTGTGTGTGTGTGTACACAAATTCCCCAAAAATGGATTTTTGGAAAAACAGCAGAAAAGGGATCGTTAGCATGAATGTTCTTCCTAAGATGCTCTCTGTTTCTCACCAGAGGGCATGCGCTCTTTGGCAAAACAAACAAACAAAAAACCACTTAGGTATCTAAGGAGGAACTAGGAAATAACCCAGTCAATTCATTAAATATTTATCACAACTCTATTATGTAAAGGATGTTCTGCTAGGCACTGAGTAGAATAAAGATAAATAAGGCATAGCCCTCGCCCCTACCTGGGAGTTCAAAATGACCAAAAAAAAAAAAAAAAGAAAAAAAGACAGATGGCAAAATACCTTTAAAAAATGATACAGGGAAGGAAACTACCAAAGCCTAGATAAATGAGAGGTCATCCTGCTGGATGTGGGAGCCCCATGAAGAATGACTACGCCAGCCTCCCCACTGGTTTCCTTTCAATTCCCACTCAAAACACTGATGATCCTATGTAACCAAGCTTGTAGTTAGCCCTATTTTGCAAATAAGAATAAAAGCAGTTGTGGTAAAAAAGAACTTCTTGCTAGTTATTGAAGTGGGGCCAAAAGATTTGTTCCTAATAGCTAAAAACTGGAAACAACCTAAATGCCCATCACCTACTAAGTGGATACACAGATTGTGGTAGTGCTTTATAACAGAGTACCTGGAATACTAGCAATAAAAAGGAACACCTACTATTACATATAACACTGGCATGCATCTCGAAAGTAATACGCTTAGTTAAAGAAGCCAGACACAAAAGACATAGACACAATTTCATGTACATGACATTCTAGAAAAGTAAATCCTAGAGTGACAGAAAGTAGATCAGTGTTTTGAGGACCCGGAGTAGGGGAGAGGTATGAGGGAACAAAGGAGGCCGAGGGAACTTCTGGGCTGACAGAAATGTTCTATGGCCCAGCTGCAGTGGTACGCTGCTGAAACACTATGCTCCACGGGCTGCACACGGGAGGCCCAGGACCGATTCCAGGTTCAATCTAAAAGGCTGGATAGGGTGACATGTGTCTGTAAATGCAGTGACTCAGGGAGGCTGAGGGAGGAGGAGTAAGAGCTCGAGGCTGGCCTGGGCAACATAGCCAGATATTGTCTATAAAAAGCTAGGTGTGGTGCTGCCCTCCTGTAGTCAGAGCTAGGAGGCAGAGGAGGAAGGACCAGGAACATGGTGAAACACTGTCTTAAAAAGGGGGGGAGGGGAAGCAGGTGGCATAGTGATTAAGGGTGCTGGACTCCCACATGGCTGACCATGGTTCGAGTCCCGGACCTGGAAGCTTGTTTTCTCACTTTCCCTCTCCCACCCTCTCTCTCTCTCTTTTGCTCTCACTCTCTCCCTCTCTGGTTAAATTAAAATAAACAAAGAAAAGGAAGAAAAAAAAAACAAAGAAAGTTAAATAAAAAAAAAAAAAGAGAGACCAGCAGATGGCATAATGGTTATGTCGCTGGACTCCTATGTGGTCAACCATGGTTTGAGTCCCGGCCCTGATGGCATAAAACTCATGCTGGGCATGTGTGTGCATGTCCAAGACCCCAAGAGGAGAATGGAGGAGAAGGGACTGCAGGATGGGCATCCCCTCTGAAAATTATTTCTTGCTTCCTGTCTCTGTCTTTGTCACTCCAGTGAGCACATGCACCCTATAGCAAAAATCTCTCTAAAAAAAGATTCTACATCAGGATTATGGCAATTCCACAGTTGTGTATATTTTTTGAAATACTTTTAACTGCATACTTAAAAAATTGGTGACTTTTAGGACCTGCAGTTGGGGTAATGGCTATGTCACTGGACTACCAGGTAGTCAACTGCGGTTCACATTCCGGACCCAGTGGCTTAAACTCATGCCGGTGCGCATGTGCGTGCATGCCCAAAATTCTGAGAGGAGAATGGAGAAGGGGTTGCAGTGTGGCCATCCCCCTTGGGGGGTGATTTCTCGCTTTCTATCTCTCTGTCTCTCTGTCTTTCTGGTGAGTGCACATGACCAATAGCAAAAACCTCTCTCAAAAAAAAAAATTGGTTACTTTTATTGTATTTAAGTCTATTTCAATAAAACTGATTTTTAAAAGGAACAAATACTCTAGAACAGAAACATCCACCTATATTCTCCTCCAAGTTATCTACGTCACCTGTAAACCATCCATGCCACTATTTC